CATTACAGCATTGATGTAGATGGGGTTTAGATGTGGTGCAACTAGTGTAACTATTGATATGGCATCAGACTGTTTGGAACACAATTCTCCAGGCCTCTGAATATACACTGTAGTTATCTCTTATCATCCCCAACCTAGTTCCTAGGCCTTACTATTATGCTGCCAAAATGAATTGAACATGATGGCCAGGGAGAAAAGCTGCACAAGAACTAGGCAACCCCAGCCTCTAAATGGGTGTTTGCTGGGCTTTATAAAACATAGGTACATGTGCTGATCAATCTCCAGTTTTTGATGTATACTTTGTTGTAATTTTACAGACATCTTTACACACCGATGCTGCAGTCAGGGTATTCATCCCGTCAGGCACAAGTAGCAGTATTTTTGCTGTCTGCATTCTTCCATGAAGTATGTACCTTATATTTACATGGTATAAATTTGCATTCAAGTGAATATACGAAATATCATATATTTGAACTGCGAAGAAAGATAATTTATGAAGACATGATTGATCATCATAGTTATACATGTACACAACTTAAGGAGTTGTCAAATTAAGCCTGAAAAAATCCAGGCTTGAACGGGATTCGAACCCATGACCTCTGCGATACCTGTGCAGTACAGTGCTCTACCAACTGAGCTATCAAGCCAACCAATTGAAAGTGGCCAAAGATTCACACCAGATTTTAAAGCATGAGAAGTATTGGTTCTTTCCCTAGATGCTAGTAGATCAGTGCTTCTACCCAGTTNCCCCCCCCCAACATCACCACCTTGCCAACAAAAATTTTTTTGGAAACCACTAGCTATTGCCCAAGAACAGATCACTGGTCAACTAATGGTTGTTATTTTTTTACAGTTTTTAGTCAGTGTTCCATTGAGGCTTTTCAGATTCTGGGCATTCTTGGCAATGCTTTCGCAAGTAAGTTGACAAAATAAGTTTACATATGACTGTAATTTCCAATATCCAGTATCCAATCTACATTGTCAAGTTAATAATTAGGTGATCAGAATAATTATTTCAATTCCTCAGCCAGGGTTTAAACATTGCAAAGGGT